TGTTAATAGTAGGTCAAGAAGCAATCCAGCTCCATCTTATCTTATTCAGAATATGTTCCAGCTCTGACAATTCCATCATATGATTGAAAAAAGCTCAGCATGTTAGCACCATAAATGAGGAAGGATGTCTCGTGGACTGCGTCAACTTGAACGTCCCATCAAAACCCAACGGCTGCAGTACAACGGAACTCAACCTTCCAACCTCTTTTTTATGCACTTTTCTACGAAAGTTACGTCTCCAAAACAATGTTATCTGAGGAGATTAATCGAAACCCATTTACTCTTCTTATCTACAAAACTATCAACAGCATATCTACCATATTGACGAATCATAACCGCACATTTCTCTTCCAGTAATTTCCAGGATGCGTTTGGCCTCGCAACCTACATTCACAGATTCTACGATTGCATACGGCGGGCAGGCGCCAGCCATTCGGTTTCGCATCACTGGTCACAGCCTTGTCTGGCACCGAGAGCGGACGCCCTGGAACCTATTAGGCCCGAACAACACCTTGAAAGCAAAGCTCTGGGTGCCTGGAGTCGAGCCCGGAGAACGCACTCGAGAAGCTTGAAAGCTGGCCAACAACACGCAAATAACCCAGTCTCGTTAGCCCAGAAGTGTTAGATTCTCCCTCTTGTGTGTTTCTCTCTCTTTTCCTTTTCTATACACATGTCTCTTTTCATATCTACACTTCTGCCTCATCGATGTGTGATACAGCATAACTAACCTGGTCGCCGTGCTGGGGTTTGTTAAAAATAGCCGCTTGCAAGCTATCTCTTATGTAGCCTCTGTTGTCTCATGAGTAGTATTCTTCCTATGAAACAAATCGAGGATAATTGGTTAATCTCTGTCTTACCGTCCTTTATTCGCCTATTCTCTGACATTTCCTAAGTTCCTTGCACTCCGGCCTATTTTTTAAACTATTCAATCTTAAAATGTGCTCTTGATCTCATGTTTCAAGCATGTTTTTTCAACGGGGAAATGATCATATAAGAACTGAACTCCGGCTAAACCCCATCCAAATGGTCATGATTAACCTCCATGCACATTTCAATTCGACTCTTTCTCTGTATACATACCAAATATCAGCAGTTATAGTCAAGAATACAGAATTCCGTATGAAAAGAGGACAGTTAAGCAGGCATATCTGCTTAAAAGTGTAAGACGAAGAAAAATACGGTCAAATCAACAAGATCCCAAAGAAAAATGCCTACAATCTTATGGACGAGAAAGCGGTGAACTAATTCGGCAAAGCAAAAAAATTGTGCACCAAATCAAATGGCGTAAAACTAGTTACATTATCGCGAGAGCAGACCTCCAATTTCCCTTCCCACTCATGTACACAAGTCGCCCTGGCTTGAATCACACAGGCTCATATTATTAAGGAGCAAACTAAATAAAACAAATCGAATTTCCTGTACATAGTAATTAAAAGGAACACAAGATATAGTTGATTAAAGTCTATCCTTGATACAAGATGACTTATTTCATCTTCCTTCGAGGCACACTGAGTTGAGCGAGAGCTTCAAAGAAAACTACTGACATACCTTACATTATGTGTGAAAAGACGGATGAAAGGGATTCGTAAATTGGCCTCACCGGATAACGGAGGAGGGTTGTCGTTGACGTGTGATTATTGGATTGTGCGAAGAAGACCTCGGCTCATTGTTCTACTACCACGATGATTTGGTACCGAGCCTTAACTTGTCATGTCACGAACATCGTCAGAGTAAGAAATTAATATTTACGAACAATCACCAAAAACCACAGAACTAAGAAAGATGGCTAGCTTAAATACCACTTATTTCTTCTACCTGATTTTTGAAACTTAATCAGGCTACTTTCTGTTTATATGAGATGTATTCACCCTATTTCGTTTCAGGGTGGTAGAATTTTCCCCCAATGATATGAGTAGAGCTGATGTTCCCACTGAATTTCGCATAGCCTTGCTTTCACAAAAGTTGTTCTCATCCAAGCTGAACTGCAGTTTCGACCTCGCATCGTTCTTATCATCAAACCCAGCAGGAGTCGAATCGTGACGGAGCAACATGTGAGTTTCGCACGTTAACCACTCAGCCACATTGCCACGAGTGCCATTTGAAGACCAGGCCTCTTTTCATATCACATTCTTTGGTGGGATTTTCGATGAAGAAAACGTATATTTGTTATAACAATCGACTACATTACTTATTTTTGGTATGTAAGTAGAGTTTCGAGACTAGCAGTAAATCAGTTAGATGAGATGTATTCATTATTCCTTCATCACCTTAAACGAAATACGGTGAATACATCGCATATAACTGATTTGCTGGTAGTCTCAAAACTCTGCTCATATACGAAAAATACTATTTGCTTGTTCTAAATGCATGTAGCCGAGTGAAGTGAGTGAGTGAAGGGAAGCGGATGTCGTCACCGCTTGTATGTATGTTAATAAACTAGCATATGATCCTGTAATTCTGAGGGATGTTTTAGCTTCGTGGATGCATGTGTATTATTTGTATGCCATACTCATGAGTTATTTGGTAATTTTGGGTCCAAAACTAGACTCCAGGTTAGTCAAGTCTTCTTCTCTAACTCAGTGGCTCTTCTTTCTCTCTCTCTCTCATTCTCTCTCTCTCTCTCAATTTGGCTCTAGCAGCCAGAGATAGTTGTTCGTAATAATAATGTATAAGAAATGTATAAGTAGGACCCCTTCTTTATGAACTTTTGGCAGAATTTATGCATTAGAGGGCCTAGCGTCGCGTTGAGGAGTGCATTCGGTTTCCACTTCTCCAGTTCTCAATTACAAACACATTGTTGCAGGCAACAACTAAGTCTCAACTTTAGTGCTACTGTAGGGAACTTAGCTATAACTCTATGCCCATAAAAATCGGCTAAAGCCTGCATCACCTTTGCTATATAATTTACCCTAGCAATAATTACAACTGCTTTTCCTTTATCTTCCCTAAAAACTATTTGTTCGCGTTGCCAGAACATCTTGGTGATATTATTAACAAACCAAATCTTATTATACAGTTTTAGCGAATAAATGCATGGCTCAACTAGAAATCCGGCTTTATCTTAAAGCTTTCCTAGTTCCAAAACTATGAGACACATATTTAAATGATAGCTTTGCAATCTGGTAGCAAAAGGAAAAGGGATAGCAAAGATGAAGAGGGTGAGGAAAATTTGGAAATCGAAAGAAGACGTGTTTAGTGAGTGTAGTCTGCTAGAAGAAGCTACTACTACTTTGAGGGCCTGACGGTCACATGAGTAGGGAGACGGATAAGCACAACCGCGACAGGAATTCGGAATTATGACCAAATTGACTAGAAATCCACTTGAGAGGTAACAGGAGATGGAATGGGGCATGGTAAACAACAGGTGTGATGACGCCACACTAGAATCTCTAAAAAGAGCAAACCTCCAGATGAGACGAATATAAACAAGTAAAAAGTTGTGATGGCGATGGAGTGAGTTGCGAGGATAGGGAGTAGGTAGATGTACCAGGACAGAAGTAGGAGTGATAGGACAACCGTTCGGCAGAAAGTTGGTCAAAGGACTTATTGCGACGCGACTCTTCAGTTTGAAGAAATGCTTTGATTGAAGGAATTCGTGAAATGGTGACAATGGAAACCGAAAGAGGCTTGCCGCGGAGAGTACTTTGTTTGATTGTGTGAAGAGGTCATTGGTTCACCGTCATAAGACATATTA